TTCTGCCGCCAAGGAGCCGTTGTCCAACCTAGCCTTATAACGGAGACGGTCTTGGAATTCGTATAGGCTGCACATTACTTTTCGCATGACAGCTGTGGAAATGGGCTGCGATGGTGAGTTTTATAACAACCTCGGGAGAGTTGAACACAGAATTATACCAAGCTCAATCATGCCAAGGTTCATTGAAGACCGTACGTGGAGCAAGAAACTTAGGTTTTCGAACAGGAAAATCCTCAACATCAGTGGTTTTGAGAGTTTGATTTGGAGAGGCAAAGTGGATGAATTGAATACACTTCAGTTTTTCTCCCGTGTTTTTTTTGTTTTTTTGCTCTTCAATGATATCTAACATCACTCACCGGAACTTGCTTAAGTAAAACTCCTCATTGTAAGAGGTCATCAAACGCACTTCGTCTAATTACGCCATTTTACAGTTTTTACGGAATACTGCAAAATTTCATGTTCAATTCAGCTCCGTGAAAACAGGTTGTCATAGGTTGTTCAGCGAAGTGAACGTGTGATTTGCGTGCCGGTGCTGACTTTATAAGACATTATTATGTGTTCTAGAGGAACATTCTGCTGCTTCCTAAGAACTTTCAGAGTAACCCACCATTAAGGGCACGTCCTCGTTGAAAATGCTTTCTGAAATTTCTACCTTGGCTGACCCTGTGGCCCCGAAGGATAGTCTGAGGCGCTATTAGGTCGAAAAGTTAAAACAAGATAAAACGTAGTAAGGGGTTAAAATCAGCTTAGTCGACGTACACACCCAAGGTGAACAGGTTCTTAAGCGTTGTAAAAGCTGTAGAGGTTGCACCATTCGCACATGGATCCACACTTTGCTGGCAGCTTACTGCGGCCAGCTGTATGTTACGGCACACGCATTTTGCATCTGGACACCTCGTCCAATTACACCTGCCATGCATTTTTTGTTAACTTATTCTCGTCCAACCGCCGATTATATTTTTTTTGAAGTCCTATGTTTCTCTAAATGCGCCGATTTCCGCTTTATTTTCACCACGTATGCACTATTCTGTACTATCACTTCCATTGCTCCTGTACCTTCAAGAAGCTACGGTTCATAAGACCCATGTTATCCGCTGTTCGACCCACAATAAACTGCTTCTCTATCCTACAGAAATTCAACTTGAAATATATTGGATTTGTTTATACGCTCATTCAAAGTCTCTATAGAAAGTTTTTGAACGAACCGTTCGTTCGGCTCGTTCAAAAACTTTCTATAGATGCTTCACTTTCTTACTGTCATTGATCTCATCAGTTTATAATCTTAACTCGGTTGCGAACGATGTAAAGGCAGCATAATGGTCATGGACTCGTAGCCCTTAATTAGGGATTGCATCGCGTCCTGATGCGAGATTACCCTAATTAAGTGTGATCGTACAAAAGCTTCCACAACCCACGTTCAGATCCTCCCATTTCCGTAGTACAGATTCACCTGCAACTGATAACTTTATTAGGTGATTCTTTCAATGTTCATTGTGCTGCAAAGGAGCCATGCAAGTACTGGTCGCAGTCTGTAGTACAACATGTGGTAGTGAAACTTGTTGAGAAAATAGGTTCGTGAGCTCAAAGCTAAATTGTTTGCTGATGTGCGCGTGAATCGCACATTGCTGAGCCGCTTCAACTGACCCAGTTCCACTCGCACGCTCTTTTTTCGTTCGACATTTCTGGTACTATTCGTTCGTGTCCTGTTTTTGAGTGCCGTCATCCAAATGATCGTCACTTGGATGACGGCATTCGTTCGTTTTCTATTGATAACTTTGCTCATTCTAATTATATTTATGTGCGATCGATTTTGTTTATGATTGTTTATGCTTACGATTGATCGTTAAGTAGCATGTTCAATGTGACCGTCCGATGTTTACTCGCTACCTCTTGTCTGCTTCTGATGATCGGTATTGATAGATAGGGTCGAGTTTGTCCCGACTATTAGTGCATGTCGCATTGTAAATTTTGTTTGCTCATATGTGTTCGCAACACAAAATGGTCTAGTAAGAGGGGTCGAGTGGATAGCATGAAAGAACAGAACGAAAAAGGTGTTTCCACCTAGTTACCTAACCGCATAGAGACTATAAATAGAGCTTAGGTTATCCAGCGCTGTATAGTACTTTTCCATGCTTAGTGATTGTACTGGCTGTTTTCCTTTGCTACTGGCGGTGATCGGAGTGCTTGAGGCAGCTGATCTGGCCATTTCTTCTCCGATCACTGATTTTCTTGCCAGAACTAGAGTAGAAAACGTCTCATCAGAGGGTCTTAACTTCACATCGCTTTAATCTCTATCGTCGGCTTGAAAGGGGACCCATTTTCGCAGTGAGTCCTAGGGGTCTTTAAATGTTCAGTTTGTATACCCCACATGGTATAGCCTAACAAGAGCGTCATATCAGCGTTTGCGTGTGTACGGCAGGGATAGCCGAGTGGATAAGAGTGTAGGCTCATGCCTGCACTTAGGAAGTGCGAGTTTGAGCCCTGCCATGGCAACTCCATGCCTTGCAAAAAATTGCAAAAATGGTATCGGTGCCAGCGTCAGGCCCAGATTCACACGCCGGCTCATGGAGTAACCTAGTCACAATAAACATGGCCTAGGTCTCAAAATTATCAGTGATCAAGCTAGGACGTCACCCGGAAGTGGCGCACAAGATCCCCGCTCGTATTCGTGGACAGTATGCGAGGGACACCGAGGAGTGAACGAACTCGGCCAAAGAAGTTTGAATCGGGACTCTAAATGTTGGATTACTTACTGGTAAGTCTCGAGAGGTCGCTGATCTTATGAAGCGCAGGAATATGAGGCGGCGAATGAGCCGTGGCGAGGCTATCCAATCAGTTCCTGAGAGGGACTATCTCACCATAGGAGGTGATCTGAATGGGCACGTCGGCAGTGAAAGGATGGACTGGAAAGGGCACATCGAGGTACAAGAATAGGAGTCAGAAGCGAAGGAGAGGAGAAAGTCTTTGCTCTAGCCATAGCCTACGACTTGGCAACCTGCAACAACTTTTTCGCGAAAATAAAGTCTCTGAAGGTGACCTACAACAGTGGAACGAAAGAAACGGCAATAGATCATGTGTTAGTCAGAAGGTACTGCCTGGAGAAGATTTGGCTCTACAGCACAGGCTCCTCCTTGCAGGCGTAGCCATCGATCTTCCCAAGAAATCAAGGACAAGAACGGAACGGAGGATCCGGTGGTGGAAGCTGCACCGGCTCGAAGGAAGGAGAACACCTCAAAGAGAAAGTAATGGAAGTTGGAGTTCCATTTCCCGAATAGCCGATTCAGCAGACCTGGAGCAACGCTGTAAAGGTCGTCCTGCGATGCAAAGGAAACGCTGGGGAAACTCAAGGTGGTTTCCGAGAGGACAAGGAAGCATGGTTCTGGAACGATGAAGTCCAACGAGTTGTGGGGCAGAAGAGATCGGCCTACAAACGCTGGCAGAGGACACGAGCCTCAGAGGACCTAGCTGCCTACAAAACCTTTGAGAGGCTCGCCAAGGCTGCTGAAGCGAAAGCAAAGAACACGGAAATGGTCTTTTGTATGACAAACCTGACAGAAGAGAAATAGAGAAGTTTATCTTCTTGGCGAAAGCGCGTGACCGCGCCACTCAGAACATCGGGGCAATGAATTCTGTTAGGAATAGCGAGAGTGCAATCTTAAAGAGGTCTTGTGAAGTCAGGCGTAGGTGGAAAGAATACTCCTACAGGCTCCTTAACGAAGAATTCTCGTAAGAACAGCTTCGAATTAGAGACAACGGCTGGTCCCATCAAACTCTGGACAGAGGATGAAATGCGTAGAGCAATAGGAATGGTGAAGGTTGGGAAGGCAACTGGTCCGCATGGAGTACCGATCGAGGCATGAAAGGCGCTCGGAGAGCATGGGATAAAGAGGCTCAACCGATTACTTGACATCGTGGCCGCTGAAGGAAGAGTCCCAGATGCGTGGAGGAGCAGTACTATCGCTCCCATCTACCAGGTGAAGGGGACGCGACGGAATGTTCTAACTAGCGGAAAAACAGGTTGACTGATCACACAAAACTGTACGAGCGGCGGTCGACTCAAGATTGGGAGAATTGGTCCCACTCTCAGTTCGTCTTCATGCCTGGAAGGTCTACAACGGATGCCATCTTCATAGCTAGGCAAGGTATGGAGACGTAGCCTTCCTCGGTCTGTAGAAGGCATTTGACCGTTTCCCGCGACATCTCCATTGGAGAGCGCTTCAAAAACGGAACATTTCTGAACACACGACCTCCCTGGTCATGTAAGATGCGATAATAAACGCACACCCCACGGCCAAACCGAAAAAATAGATGTCATTCTTGGGGTACACCAGGGAACAGATTGAGCCCGTTCCTCTTCCTGCTCACGATGGACGTCACCACAGAAGAACTCGTGGACGGGCCCCTGTAGACCATCCTCTATGCTTGTGACATCGCTCTGATAGCGGAGAGCAATGAAGAACTTCAGGATAAGCTCCAGCAATGGCAGAAAGTGCTGTCGGAGAATGGACGTCGGCTGAACATGAAGAAGATCAAGTTACTCAGCTCGGAGGAGGGCACGAAGTTAATCGTCGACGGTCACGGGGAAGTCATCGAAAAGGTTCAGGACTTCTGATACCTGGGAAGTGATCTAGCCGCTGATGGTAGCGTGAACCAGGCCTTAAAAACCCGATTAAACGCGGATGAAGTGTAGGGGGTCCACCGGTATTTTCTGCGACAGTCGGTGCTCCAGGATTCCCAAAGGGAAGGTGTATCGGGCAGTGGTAAGGCCCGCGATGCTCTACGGTAGCGAGTGTTGGCCAGTAAGTAAAACTCATGAAATTCAGCTCCACTCCGCTGAAATAAGAATGCTCAGATGGACCTGCGGCTGGACGCGGCTGGATCGGGTCAGAAGTGAAGACGTCAGGACGGCTACGCGAACAGTCCCAGTTCAATTGAAGGTAAAGGAGCAGCGCGTGCGATGGTTCGAGCATGTACTAAGAAGGCCACAGAGCCATATGATAATGGAGGCAGTGGAGTTCGAGGCTCAAAGTAAGCTACCACGAGGAGACTCAGAGAAGAGATGGCGGGACGTAATCAAGAAGGACCTCGCCGAAGCTAAGGTGACGGCAGAAGATGCCGTAGATAGAATGAAAAGGAGACGGCTGACAAGAACAACGGACTCTGCGACGGGAATTAACGCTAGGGAGAAGAAGAAGAAGAAGTGTGCATGTGTATGTCGGTCAAGTCAATTTTGGAGTCCATCTTATGCCCTGGCTGAATGGTTTTTTGGCACTCCAAAGTGTCTCATTTGCTACACTTGGAGCCGCAGGTCGTAGGAGAAATAACATGAAGTATTTTGATCGTGGACTCTGTCTTCAAAGTCGGTAAATATAACAACAGAGAACTAGGAATAAGCGAACTTGTTCACAGAAGCTTTTGAAGAGGTTGTGATCATCCAACAAATTCCTAGTCATTGTGTTTTGATTGGCAAGATATTGGGTGAAGGTGTACCTAGTCTGTGCGTGATCACAGACGTTTTACAATTAGCAAATTAGTCTTTTGAAACTACTCTGACTATGCTCTTGGGTCTCGAGTTTTCAAGTGCTCAATAATTACATTGCTATAAAAATGTCACGGGATATCGGAGACTTTCGATAACGGGATATCGGAGACTTTCGATATCCCAGCCCAGGCTCGTAACGAGGGGAATATGGTGTTCTTCATGTGCTGACATTTGACCTTCCTTCTGATAATAATTTGTTCTTCAAGTCGGTTTTTCGATAAAAAGAAGTTCAATTGTGATGGTCCAGACGGGAACCGCTTTCACTGGTACGATCTAGGAAAAAAGAAACTTCAGTTTTCTTGACGGAACTTCAAGGGAGGAGAGTAATAGTTTGGGCCGCAATGATCTTGTAATTAGCTCTTACAAAGTTTTCATACACTTGGGACTGGCTCAAACATCTGTCGAAATTGACCCTCTTCTTTGTTTGCCCTGATTTTTGCAATGCGAAGATCCATAAAATACGATAGTCTACACACGTGTCGTGCAATTTATTTGCAAGCAAATTGGTCTCATCGAACGATGCTACGCATCACTGTTCTGGTTTCGGCAATATAGCGATTTTGGGGTGGTGTGGCGCGAAAGGCCTATACATAAAATATATACCCTACTTATAGAACGCTCTAATGTCCATGTGTTTGTGTGTGTTTGTGTAAGTCTGTCGTCCGACCGGAAATTCATGATTGTATTCCCGTGGAACTAGAACGTCCAGATCCGGTAGGAGCACAGGTGACAGAATGGGAACACTTTTGGTGGGTGGCAGTACCGGACTCCGCTCAGGAAATCAGCAAAATTCATAACATCTGTTCCCTGGACCTAAAACGTTCAAATTTGGCTCAAACGTTGGAGGCAGGAGGGGGGCACTAACGATGGGCGGCAGGACCGGACTCCAACCACAGTGGCCCGGTGGGCAGGGTTTGAGCGGTAATTCATAACTCCTGTTTCCGTGGAGCGTCTAAATTGGGAAGAAGTACAGTCGACTGGATGCCAAGAGTAGGTGGCAGGACCGGACTCCCACAGCCTCATTTTCCGCTCAAGGCATTTATTGCCCTTAGTTATACGGATATTTATGTTCGCATTCGGATATTGGTGCTTTGCATTTAGAGTTGGATAGTGCAAAAAATATGCTTCAAGTAAAACACATTGAAATTAAATTTCGCTCGAGTTGCCACTGAAAAAGAAGTTACGGCCGAAAGCTTTTGGCCGTTAGACGAAAGCTTTTGGCCGCAGACTTTGAGCGCTACTGCATAGTAAGATCCATTCATACATCCACCCGTTCATGTGAATAATATGAGTACATCGCTAGTGATATAATGTAAAACAGAGGCAAAGACAACCAAGCATGAGCATTACCTTTAAATTCAGGTTCACATGGATCGCCGGGCTTTGCACTCATGATATTTGCGCGTCGCCGGGCATGTGCGTTAACATTTCCCCTTCAAGCAATCGCATAGTAAAGCTTCCCTGAGCTTTTCTTCATAACGTCATGATTACTAAATACACTTGTTCTGCTAATGTTCGTTTAGAGTTGGTCTCAAAAACAAAATGTGAAAGAGCAAACTAGGGGTGATTTGACTCTCACACTAGTCAGCGAACATCGACTATGAACGTTTTAGATGTTGGAATGTATGTACATACTAATGAGCTTCATCATAAAAACATTTAAGTGTAAGAAAACAAAGCGTCGATTTCTGCGACCAATGTTTATAATGATACTAGCCGATTCCAATTAGGTGAGCGCTAAAAATTCGACATGGGGCGCTCACGTGTATCGCGTGTGTTTCAGAATCTGTTGTTCTTGATCTCAACTATAAAAAAATAAAAATCAACTTGTACACTTTCTAAAGTCTTCTTGCGCACCTACTTTTCCAAGGGCAATAGCCAGTAAATCGAAACGTGATAATAGTGTGCAATGTTGACGATTGATGCTAACGCCGTCATCAGAGGTTCCTATTTATAGCCGTTACAATCTTCATCGAATGAAGAATTTGTCAATTTCCCAGGTTATTGATGATTGGATAAGTTTCGTAGCAACTACCACCGAAATAAAGAGGATACGCGGTAGCTTACTGAATGGCGAAATGCAAGGCGTAGTCGTCGTAGTCTGATAGCAAGTAATGTACAGAATTCCGTTCCCTTCACACATTTTGAACTGTCCTTGTCACTACCCTTATCACTGATTTTTGCCAACGTACTCGGACATCCAGCCTTGTCCTACACAACATATCGTAATGTCAATACAAATTCAAGAGTTTATAACTCAAAGCCTTCTAAACAAGATCCCTAGTTGGCCTTCAACAGCTATTATCGCTATTATCATCATATCAATTTTTGGTAGTCCGTTACTTACGATCTAGTCACACCCAGCGTCACACATTCTACTAAACAGGTTACTGTGCCGTACTGTAGGAAGAACTGATCCGGTGTCTTTTCCAATTCGCCGATTGTCAGTTTTCCCTGGAAACCCCATATAAAAACCCCACCTTTAAAGTGCAAACTTTCCAATACTTTCCAAAGCACGTCACGGATTTACAAGGGAAGGATGCTTGGTCGCAGCGGTTATTTAGAAGGGATGTATAGCGCCGTAGGTGTTTTCGAACGCTGATTTCAATTCGTGGACATGACATGAAGCATAGGATCCTTGATGCATATAATCATTTTGCTTCTTCGCGTAATGTGTTCTGAGCATTACAAAACGTGTTCACGTTTCATACTGACTATCATGAAAACACCACTTGTTTTATGAATGCTGGAAATGTAATTTGAAAGAAAATCCTTTTCCGCCCTGACCGAATTAGGGTGCTGCTCGAATTGAGCAAAGAGGAAGCGCGAACACTTGGCCCAAAATGTGCATATGAAGCTTCAAGGCGAAAGGTGCCAGATGATTCATTGAATAAAAGGCTCTTCAACAAGTTATTAACGAAGTGTTCTGCCTAAAGGTGGTGTTATCGTATTTGTTGGAAGACCTAAGTAGCTGCGACATAGCATGTGCACTATCCAGGAAGGAATGGTAGGTAATATAGAGCTTATTGACCATACCTTTGATGCTACGTAAGACATTTTCGTTATCGACTGTGGGGAAGACGAATCCATCAAAAATGTTCACAATGATCTCTTTTGTCACCTAGTGATAACACCGACGACGGACACATCACATCAGAACCTCCAACAACGAGTCTCGTACCTTTTGGGAACATGCAGATTCCGGAATGTAACGTAGCCCCAACTTTGTGATTTCACCCATAAACTTCAATTCTAGGATACAGGTTGAAGAGTATATCTTCTATAGTTCGAGTTCCAAAAGAAGCCGCACTACCCCATGCGTGAGAAACAAAATATGTTTCACCACGATCGAATGTCATCTACGAAAATCGATGGAAAATAAGGGAGAATGTGAGCTTCCAAACTGGTCTATCTTCGACAAATTATGGTGTCTTATTTGGTCGTAACTATAAGGTGGAGAACAAACGAAACGAGCCCCTTGGAGATTGGTGAGAAGTTGAGAGAATTTATTTCAAAATGAGTACCGAATGTCTCAAATGAGCAGCCTGAGCAATCTCATTGCACAACAGGGATTTGAGCTGTATGTGGCCGAAAATAATGGAAGCTCCATGGAGGAGAACTTCATGTCGTAGGTGAATACAAGGTTTCGAGTCTAGCAGTGATGTCGTGTCGCACTGCGTTTACTTCAAGAAAGGGTGTCTTGACAATTATCTAATAATCATATGTCCCATTGATTGATCACCTATTGCTCAACATTGTTCGATATTTTTTTTAGAAATTCTGCTCACTTTTACAGCTTCGAAAGTGGAACAGTATTCCTCGAGAGAGAACACTTGTACTTGCGGAGAAGACTATAGTCAATTGTTTCATTCGAGTGCACTCCACCGAAAGTGCAGGGTGCTGGCGAAAACCTCCCAGCACTATCTTGAACGTTCGGGGTAGAAGGGCATCGTTTGGTTATGGCAAAGCAGGTTTTTCTTGGGTTCCCATTCATCGAGCTCCTCAAACGTGAAGGGAGGTTGTAATTTTTCAATACAAAGTGTAAAAGTGCTTTGTAAGCATTCAGGGCACATTTTATGAAAATGCGAAATGGTCACATTTACCGAGGATACGAACCTTCATGTCATGTCGATGTGAGTCCAGCGTTCTACCATATGCGCCGTAGCTCTACGGCGAACCTGCTAGGTTGAACCGCATATGGTAGAACGCTGGACATCTGTTCAATACTGTGGCATAACACGGGATAACAGTTCGGTAACTTCGTTCTCAAACTTGTTTAGCAGTTTCGGAAAGTAGATTTGGGATTAACGTTTGGAAGCACCTACGTTGATACACATCTCATCTGAGTGGCCACTGTAACCAACTGTCCTTCCTTTCTCACAAGGAAGGTCTTTCAGGGCGTGGGACGCTTTTTTGAAAACGGTTTTTTGCATGGTGTAGAGGCACGAGCACTGAGTATAGAACTATGGTCCATTTCCGCTAAATGGCCTTCTGAATGCCAAAGAAGGAGTGAAAATTTTATTGTCAGAAATTGCCGTTTTAACCCACTAAGCGTCGCTTGTTTCATTTACGGCGTCGACTGTCCACACAGTAGAAGGCGCCAGTGGACTGCGCATTGAAATAACGTGAACGGTAGCCAAAAAAGGGCTGAAATGTTGAAAAGTGCGGGGAAGTTTCATATAAGCTGTCACGGCTGAGCTGATGGCAGCGACGGATGGTGTGGTGGGTAGGGATGTGACTTCGGGTTGGGACGGTTGGGGTGGTATGGTGGTT